AGATGAAGCTGTTTGCACAGTTACACAGCCAATTAATTGTAGAAAGAGACATTGAACCCTAGCCAGCCCAAAGCCTGTGCTGTTTAGTCACTATGTGGTACCACTTCTTGGCATCAAGTTTATTTATCAAAGTCTGTTTATTATTTATTATTTTTTTACTGCAAAAATAACACCTGTTAATTCTAGAAAAATTGTAACATATGGACTAGCAGAAGAACATAGTAAAATATGTACAACTGCTTCTACTTAGAAATAGACTCTGCTATTTGCAAATGACATATCAGATAAAGGACTGGTATCCAAAATCTATAAAGAACTTATTAAACTCAACACCCAAGAAACAAAAAATCCAATCATGAAATGGGCAGAAGACATGAACAGAATTTTCACCAAAGAAGACAAACGCATGGCCAACAAGCACATGAGAAAATGCTCCGCATCACTGGCCATTAGGGAAATACAAATCAAAAACACAGTGAGATACCACCTCACACCAGTGAGAATGGTGGAAATTAACAAGACAGGAAACAAATGTTGGAGTGAATGTGGAAAAAGGGGAATCCTCTTTTTTAAATTTTATTTTATGTATTTGTTCATGAGAGACACAGAAAGAGGCAGACACATAAGCAGAGGGAGAAGCAGGCTCCATGAAGGGAGCCTGATATGGGACTCGATCCCAGGACCTTGGGATTATGCCCTGAGCCAAAAGCAGACGCTGAACCGCTGACCCACCCAGGTGTCCCCAAAAGGGGAACCCTCTTACACTGTTGGTGGGAATGCAAGCTGTTATAGCCACTCTGGAAAACAGTGTGGAGGTTCCTCAAAAAGTTAAAAATAGAGCTACCCTTTGACCCAGCAATTCCACTACTGGGTATTTATTCCAAAGATACAGATGCAGTGAAATGCCGGGACACTTGCACCCCAATGTTCATAGCAGTAACGTCCACAATAGCCAAACTGTGGAAGGAGCCATGGTGTCCTTCGAGAGATGAATGGATAAAGAAGATGTATGTATATAGAATGGAATATTACTCAGCCTCAGAAAGGACAAATACCCACCGTTTGCTTCGATGTGGATGGCACTGGAGGGTATTATGCTGAGTGAAGTAAGTCAATCAGAGGAGGATAGTCATTATATGCTTTCACTCATATGGGGAATATAAGAAATAATGAAAGGAATTATAAGGGAAAGAGGGGAACTGAGTTGGAAAAATTAGAGAGGGAGACAAAAAATGAGAGACTCCTAACTCTGGGAAATGAACAAAGGGTTGTGGAAGGAGAGGCGGGGAGGGGACTGGGGTAACTGGGGTAACTTATCTAGGTTGTATTCTGATTACCAACACAATGAAAACCACTGGTTGAAGAATATTTGCTTTTCAGGTGCCTGGGCGGCTCATTCCGTAAAGCATGGGACTCTTGGTATTGGCTCAAGTCATGATCTCAGGGTCGTGAGATTGGCACCCCCTCCTATGGTGCTGCTAGCTCAGTGGGGAGTCTGCTTGAAGATGCTCTCTCCTTCTGCCCTCTACTCCTCTGACTCCCACTCATGCTCGCTCTCTCTCCCTCTAAAATAAATAACTTTTTTAAAAAAGAAAATTTGCTTTTTGAAAGATCATGTTGAACAGCCTTCTTTCAGCTAAGGCATTTTTATTTATTTTTTTATTTCTTAAAAATTTTACATATTTATTAGTGAGAGACACAGAGAGAGACAGGCAGAGACACAGGCAGAGGGAGAAACAGGCTCCATGCAGGGAGCCCGATGTGGAACTCTATCCTGGAACTCCGGGATCATGCCCTTAGCCAAAGGCAAACGCTCACCCACTGAGCCACCCAGGCATCCCAGCTAAGGCATTTTTTTTAAAAAGACTTTATTTATTTATTTGAGAGCGAGAGATTAAGCAGGGAGAGGAGCAGAACGGGGGGGGAGAGGGTCAGGCTGACTGTGCTGAGCACAGAGCTTGACAGGAGAACCTAATCTCAGGACCCTGTGATTGTAACCTGAGTGCAAACCAAGAGTCTGATGATGTTCAACTGACTGAGCCACCCTGGGTGCCCCCAGCTCAAGCATTTTCAACAAAATCACCTGGAGCCCATAACAGGAACCATAAGCAGGACCCCAGACTCCAGGCAGAGTTTAGGAAGGGGTTAACTCCTAAAATGTAAATGTAAAGGGTGACTCTAATGGAGGGAACTATGTTCAGGAGAATAAGCCACAAACTCGATGACCAGAAATTGATAGCTAGAATAAGAGAGGTAAATTTCAGGATCAGAATACCAAAGTAGTCACCAAAGCTGGAATACCAGGGCAGAACCAGGCTAATGACAATGGGGACTTGCTGAGTTCCCAGGATGTTGGGTCAACACCCTTTAAATCCTTGCCAAAGGGCACAGAATTAGGCCTGGGGGTGAGCCTACAGTTGAGGAGTATTGCCCCAAGAGCTGAAAAGAGCTCCAGGGATTAGGAATCTGGCAGGTTCTGACAATGGGAAGTTTTGACAGCGAACAATATAATGAAGAGTTGTTATGTGATTAAATTAGAGAAATTTAGGGATAGTTCTGAAAGCTATTGTGGTAGTGAATGAAGGGGGAGATTTTGGGCAGTGGTAGGAATTATATTTAGAAAGGTACCTAGAGATTTCTATTAAATAAATAGATTGGAGAAATACCTGTAATGACATTTCTCTTCTTACCATATCTTGGCAAACAGACAAAACATGTGGTTGGTCCTTGGTGGCTATAATGCTATTATTACTCTTACTAAATTGAGGTTTTAACTGGTATATTAAAATTTTCTTTTGTTATGGAGCCCCTAAATAGGCATGCTGTGTTTTATGATTGCAGTTAATGTTACCATGTTTTAAAATTAAAAATTATTATCTTTTCTTGCTGCTATGAAGGCCATCATGAAACTAATGATTAATATTCTGGAAAGACATTTCAATTAAATTTCTTGGGTATTGATCAGATAAGTATTAAGATTTATGATTGTCTTCTGAAATTTTCATTAGGGGAGTCCTTTGTTGTTTTGGGTAACTCTTAGTAAGTGGTTTCCAAACCCTGGAAATTACCACTTTGAGTTAATTTAGAAAGAGACCTCTCTTTTGCTGAGTGTGTTGTTTTTTATTTTTTTGCACAAAAAAGTAACAATTGTATAGAAGTTAATTATGTTCTTAATTACAAATAACTTTATAGTTTCTGGAGGTTTGGTATTAAAACACTTCCAAGGATGCTTTAACTATTACAGGAACATCCTTTAATTAACTGTAGCTGATGGTTAGATTTGCTTCAGTGCTTTGAACTTTTACATCAAGTCTTTCTTGCCCAGAAATGATGAATATGATCATCATTTCTGTCTCTTCCATGGAATTTTCTAATATATATTGTTTTAAAAATTACAAAGATTCTGTTCATTGTAAAAACCAAAACAAAAAACCCTAAAACCGTATTGAATATGGACTACTTTTTCTCCCAGCCTCCAAATGATAACTGTTAACAGTCTGATGCATATTTTTCCAACTTTTCACAAGGATTCTGCTTGTGTACACACACACACACACACACACACACACACACACACACACACACTATAGGTTCCTCTTCCTCCCCTCCCCCTTCTCCCACTCACCTTACCTCTTCCCCCTCCTCTGTCTCCTCCTCCTTCACAGGAGTGTGGAGTGTGGTGATAATGCCAAGGGAGAGAAGGCTTTGTTCTGTGTTCTCTCCCTTATTGAATTTCACTCCTTGGTGGAGCTTACTGTCCTCGTCCTTTCCTCCCCTTGCCTACCACCAAGGTTCAATAAATTCAGGCTATGCTTTGCTTCTCTTTATCCTCAGCAGCCAAACAAGGAATTCCCAGAACAAATCCTCAACTATGTAAAAGACAGCAGTTCTGGGTGTTTCTCTTGGGGACAGCAAGCTAAGCAGCCCCAGTTCTGGCCTCCCTGGTGATTGGCCGAAGGCCCAGAGGGGTTTTGTGTACCAGTTCATTCCAAGTGTGAAGTTTCTCTGGGGTTTCCTTGGGAAGTAGGTTCTTCTTTGTAACCTTTTTCTTGTGTCTGTTATGGGTTGAGATTTCTTCTGCAGTGGTTATCTATCATTTCAACCCTGATTTCTAATCTTATAGACTTTTCTAAAATTTTTTGTGTGTTGATAATGGAACTTCTTTTCTGCTCTCCTGTCATTTTAGTGGAATTTAGGTACACATGATGATTCAGTCAATTCTTTGAACCTCTCAGGTGCCTGATCTTTGTTTTCTTTCTGGACCAGGGTTTTGGAAATTCTTTTAAGGTTCGTTTGCAGTTCCCCTGTCTAATAACGTGAAAGTTCTAGCTTAATTTTAATATTCTAGTTTAAATTTAATATTAATCATAATTAGATCACCGATAGTATGTTGTTCTCTAGATGCAGAAATGACACCATTACTTAATAAACTTCTTTTTGCTGCATTTACAGGCCTTGTCCACAAGATGTTACTGCATTGGGCAAATTAATGATGTGAAATTCACTTTTAGAAAGTTAGATAATTAGCCTTTCCTTTGATATATATTAATGTCACTATTTGTAATATATATTTGTATTTTATTTGCCAGGTAACTGAATGTTGTCAGTTTCCTTTTTCAGTATCTAGATCAGTTGGAAATGTAAAAAAAATACCGATAGTAATTTTTAATGGGCACCTGGTACTCAATGTATCTTAAAATGATTTCTTAATCACTATTAGAAACAAAAGAATAGGGCAGCCTGGGTGGCTCAGCAGTTTAGAGTCTGCCTTTGGCCCAGGGCCTGATCCTGGAGACCCGGGATCGAGTCCCACATCGGACTCCCTGCATGGAGCCTGCTTCTCCCTCTGCCTGTGTCTCTGCCTCTGTCTGTCTCTCTGTGTCTCTCATGAATAAATAAATATATAAAATCTTAAAAAAAACTAAATGAATGGTTCAGCATTTTTAAAATTATCGAGATATTTTTGTCATACAACAATATATTTCTTAATTTTGTCTCAGGAAGGAGAAAACATTTTCTATTTGGCAGTTGAAGATATAGAAACAGACACAGAGCTTCTGATTGGCTACCTGGACAGTGACATGGAGGCCGATGAGGAAGAACAGCAAATTATGACAATGATCAAAGAAGGGGAAGTTAAAAATTCTAAAGGACAATCAACAGCTGGCAGAAAAGGTATTGCCTCTAACTGGGATTTGAGAGAATGGAAGTTGTAGGGGAAATAAAGTTTGAAGTGGGGTTGAATTATATAGATGCATTATAATAGGGTGTTGTCAAGATAGTTTTTGTCAAAACTACTGTCAGAGAATATCCAGCTGTAAACCCATCTTTCTTCCAGCAGGAGGAGAGAGCTGGGCGTGGGTGATAGATGTGCCTGCAGGACTGCTATGGTCAGCACCAGCTCCTGGCTCTCACTGTTCCTACTGGTCTGCTCCAGTGGCGAGTAAGGAGGATTTTTGCCCTCCAGCACTGAATCTGCCACTAATCAGGCTTGTAACTGAGCAAGTCACTGACTTTTGGAGACTTTACTTTCTCATCTGCACACGGGGAAAGGCGAGTGCAGAGGTATAGAGAGAGCACTGCTGCATGGGCCCTATGGGATTATTCCTGGGCCCAGGATCCTTAGAGAATCTGTAGCTTCTGGAAAGCTCTCTCTGTTCTGATTGTAGAGGCCTGCACTATTGTTAGGTTGTTTCAGTCGGGTAACCAAAAACAGTGTGTTGACTCTAAGTTTGACTTCCTTGGATCAGTCCTGCAATCCAGGAGATGTCTCTTGTTTGCCATCTGCTGGGGAATAATCAATTATTATGGAGACTTGTTTCCGTTTCGTGGTGTTTTACTCCTGATGGGGTTTGAAAGAAATATGAATGATGTTATAGGTATTGAGATTTTGTAATAGGCCGAAATTTACCAGAGAGTAAATACCAGAGAGTATTTTTTCATTTTGTGTAGTGAAGCCACTTCAGAAGTGACACCAGTTTCTTTAGTCCTCAGGGTAATAATGTCTTTCATATGAATTTTCTCTTCTAACTGTATGTTACTGCTGGCTGAGAAAGTGTAAGCATTCCCCGTATTGCCAGCTTCTGCTTCTGCTTCTTTATTTTACTTGGATTATGTAAGCGGAAGATGTAGACAGGCTTTCTCTTCTTTCAAATATGCATTTTGCTGTTTTGAATTTCAGACTTTGGGTGATGTGGATTATTTCTGTGTTTTCTTTTTGGGGGGTATTTATTTATGCAAATTACAATATTATTGACTACATTTCCTATGATGTACTTTTTGTATTCTAAATACTTTTTGTATTTACTCTTTTAACGTCAACCCCCACCCCCGCCAGGTGTGTTATTATTGTGTCCGCTGTTTTAGCTTAAAAATGAGTCTCTTGCTTACCTATTATCTCAATTTTTCTTTAGTTAACAAATATTAAATTCCATTACTTTTGTAAAAACAATCCACAGAAACTTAAACAGATTTTTAAAATATATGAATTAGGTAGTTACATTATTGTTATTTTTATTTTAGAAACCAGTTTTTATTTAATAAAAGCAACCCCCCAATAGAAACCCAAAACACAGAACAAACTGACAACACAAAAGAAAGAAAAAGTCTGCTCAAATGTCAAACAATAGAGAGTTTTAGTTAAGTAAATATAGTACCTTACGTTTTCTTTTTTGAATTGAGAAAATGTCAAATGAAAAAAAAGAGCAACAGATGAAATTGCATAAAAAGTATGATCATAACTGTAGTTAGACTGTGTATACAATAGGAATGGACAAAAGACAAATCGGATGTGAGAATATATTAAGTGGTTGTCTATTATGGGATTATTAGTCATTTTTACTTTCTTATTTTCTAAATCTAATTTTATTTAATAATCAGAAAAAATCCATAATGTAAATAGTGCACTTTGAGAGATTTGGGTGAAGCTGTGACAGTCCATAGGGACTGACAAGCTAGAGACACAGTAGAGCCTGACTACACCTGCCATAATGAGTGCTGTTTTTATGACCGTGGTCTTTTTCACATATATGTGAGATTCCCCTTGGTAATTCCACATAGTTTGCCTTGGTTGGATTTTTTTCTCTTTGTGTACTCAATGAACTCAAGATGACCTGTTTCAGGGAAAACTTTTGCTTTCTCATTCGACATTTGTAATAACTCTTTGATGTAAAAAGTTAACATGACAGGGCAAATTAAAAATTGATTTTGGTTTTGTATTAATTTGCTGACACACAAGAGAAATGAATTAAAAGATAATGCATTTTTCTTTGGTGATACTTCCTATTACTTTTCGTGGATAACATTATTAATACTGGTAGAGATAATAAGCATTTACTATTCTGATACTATTAAGCACAATTAATTTTGATTTTAAAATGAGGATAAAATTGGCTCTTAATCTTTGTCTTATAAGTCTGTTTCCTTGTAAATGTGCAGATTGCCTTGACTGTAAAGAGGACTATGCTTGTCCCCAGTGTGACTCGAGTTTTACCAGTGAGGAAATTCTTGCTGAGCATCTTCAGACATTACACCAGAAACCTACCGAAGAGAAAGAATTTAAGTGCAAGAACTGTGGGAAGAAATTCCCAGTTAAGCAGGCTTTGCAAAGACAGTGCGTACAGCAAAGAGTATCTAAAATTCTAAGTTAACACTTTTTTAACTATTCCATTTGATTCGTTTTAGTTTCTAACCAGTGCGTGAGTGCGTGTGTGTGTGTATATGTGTGTGTTTGTGAAAGAGACAGAGGGAGAGAAGAAAATAAGCATTCTGTATTGTCATTGTCATTAATTTATCTTTTCTTCATATAACATGTTGATTTTTGAAATGTCCTGATTATGAATTTCAACAAGTAAACATTGTTTATGGTAATAACTCTTTGCCCATTTAATTACTTGCCATTAAATATCAAGCTCATTGGCTTCCTAATCTGAAATTCAGTTATGCATAATTTAGTTAGTGCTTGGAGGCTGCAGATCAAGTTTTAGTTGTCTGCATATGATATCCCTCTGAAATCAGTAAAAGAAAAGTTTAAGAAATGGAGAGGGTTCAGAGTATAAGGAATACAGCGACATTTTGGGGGAAGAAGCACTGTTTATTTCATAACAGTGTAGGAGGAACAATATTAGGATGAATTAAATGATACCACACATTGCTCTGCACACATTATTTTGAATATTTTTATTAATAGCATAGAGTTATCTTTTTACTTAAATATTTTTACAGTGTCATTAATAATTGAAAGTGAGTAGATACATATAATTTTATTTTAAGAATGCCACCTTGTGTATGAGCAAGAAATCTTTCATAGAGACTTAATGTTTCATCTTTTTATTCATTAAAGTAAAATTCTGAAACATGCTATATTTTATATTAAGATGATTTTCATATATGCATCTACTTGGATTATGAAATTTGAAATGAACAATTCCTGCTCAAAACTTAAACTTTTATAATAGCAAGAGATTCAACATTTGGAAATTCTGTCCTAGACTCTTGAAAAAAAAAGCAACAGGCTATATACTTTTCAGTGAATAGACTTTACAATTGCATTCTAGTCAGCTTTTATTGAAGATACACCAAAGATTATTTTGCTGAGCTGGGTCTTACAGTTAAATGAGGTACTACTAAAAATTTCAAAGGCCAAAAGACAGAATGAAAACGAGATCACAAAGAAAATTTTATTTAAAGTAGATTTTCATAGGTTTTTGTCTTATGCTTCCAGTTTTTATTTCTTTTTGTTTCTTTCTTTCTTTTTTTTCCTATTTCCCCTTAGTGTTCTTCAGTGCACAGTGAAAAGCAGTTTGAAGGATTCTTCACGAAGTTTTCAGTGCTCTGTTTGCAATTCTTCCTTCAGTTCAGCATCGAGGTTTTGTGTCTGAGTTCTCAGATGTCTGTTATATAGTTGTGGGTCATTTTTAGCATGCGTGCTGTCCGAACTTTGTTGCGATTTAGTATCATAGGGCTGCTGGGGGAATTTAAGTACTTTCCTTTTCACCTGCTCAGGTAATGCATGAAATGACCCACAAACTCTGCTAGAGAGCATGCATTGCAAAAGCCTGCCATGATTAGGCTTAAGAATTATTTCAATAGATCTTCACTTTCTCTTCACCCTTTTCCCTATTCCTGGTTGTCTTGCAGTTTTGAGCAGCACCAGGAGACCTGCCGGGGGGATGCCAGGTTTGTGTGCAAGGCGGACAGCTGTGGGAAGAGGCTGAAGAGCAAGGATGCCCTCAGAAGACACCAGGAAAACGTCCATGCTGGTGAGAAGTCCCTGCAGGGTCACTTTTAAAGGGGCCTCCTCTCCCCAGGCTGCAGTGATCTGTTTATAATTCTTGTTCTTGAGGAGAGAGCTTGCTTTTGCATTGTACTCACACAGATGTGAGGCTCTGGCTGTCGACTTTTGACTTTTTTCTTTTACTGAACACTATTTCTTTTTCAAGTTGATTTCAGTAGTATTTGTCATTTTTCCTTGTCTGAAGTCATCAGAGCCAGAAACCTAAGCTAGAACCTACTTGAGCTTGGTCGGCAGGTGTATTAAGAATTAATATTTTTAAATAACAATTTAAAGGTGAAATGTGAACTCAGGGTACTCTTGTGCCTTAATATTTTTACAGTGAAATTCCATTTTTAATTTATATTTCTCCTATATTGGAGAAAATTACTAACTGCATTTTGACATGGGAGTTGAATGTATTTGGATTAATAAAGCAGGCACTCTGTGAATTCCTTCTAATGGCCAGCTAAACATTAAAACAAATACAGATTTGACTATCACTTAGATTGTATCTGTTTAGCACATGGTAAAAATGTAGTTTGGTTTAGGGATAGAATCTATTGCCCTGAGTTCAACAGATGGCTGTATCATCAGAGTTAACTTTTTACTTCCTCAGTATCTTTTCCTTAAAGGAGGCCAATGTTTGTGGAACTCCTCATATCCTGTGTGTTTCTGGGAAATGTGTGGAAAAATGTTTTTCTGGATATGAGGAAAGTGGGTTTCTCTTCTTCCATCTTACTTACTCTCACACCCAGAACAGGATAGTCAGTAGTCAGCTTCTGTATGCTCTGCTCATTTTCCAAAAAGTATCTCCTTTAATGTTAAAGTTGTATAGAAGCCAGTATTAGTGTGACTACTGGCTCCCACCTGGCATCCCTGTTTGGGCTGCATATTAAGTCTGAGCTGTATATGAAAGCTCTGGGAGGTAGAAAGCAAGGCCTTGCAAAATATAGCTTCACAGTGATATCAGTAGGACTCTACAGTGTTCTGACTTCTTTTTTTCCCTTTAGAAGAATATGTGGCTGATTTAGGGAAGATGGCATTTTTCTGAATTCATTATACTTGGGCCTTTCCTATGCTTACAAAAGGCAAGCATAATTTTTTGATAGACTTGTCTTGATCGTTTTTTTTTAAGCTGTTATGTTTAAAATGCTGTTCTTAATTTTCTCCATCTCTGTCTGCAATGTATTATAACAAATCTTTCATGTCATTTTTAAAGTTAACTTTGCTGAACTAAGTAAAAAACCAGATGCATATTGAAACTCTGGAAACTTGCATTCTTGTTATTGAGCATGTGGTTTTCAGGCTATGTTATAAGCATAATTTCTTTAAGGCTTCTTGTAATTGGCCTTGGATATTATAATATTACTGATTCTGGAAACTCATGTGACTTTGTAGGAAATAATTTATAAAAGGAAATTTTTAATATTTCTATGTTTCTATGTGGAAACATACAAAATATGGAACGTACATATTTAATCAGGGATTACTATACATAGCTTTGTTGGGATTAGTACACAGTCTGTCTCTCATTCACAACTCTCTCTTGCTTCTCCCCTTTCTTCTGTGAGATACACAGACATTTGGAGAAAGAATATTCCACCTTCAGAATAGCAAACAAAGCAATGTTTACACGCATGACTTTAGAATGCCTGGGAGCATACTTAACCCACATTGTACTGAAACTCACGATACTTAGGTGACTCTGTATTCAGTGCAATTGTATTAATTTCTCATATGTCTCCTACAGTTGTAAATAATGTGTTCCTGCATACTTTTGTAAGTTGAATCTGAAAGTAAAAAATTCAGACTTACCTGAATATAGCAAAACTAAAATAGTACAAAGTCTAGTTATGGCTTTGTAGGTGCTGTTGTTTTTCAACCTAGGGAAGCTGGAGTCCTAAGGACCTTCACAGTTACCCAGGAGGAAATAGGAAGTGAAGAGGGCTGACTTCCTTTTTTTTTTTTTTTTTTTTTTTTTTTTTTTTTTTTTAGGGCTGACTTCCTTAACCCACTTCCATTTTTTTTCTTTTGCTTAGATTCTGTGGATGCTAAAACTGAGAGTTTTTGTATTTATGGGAGATAATATCTATCTACACTCTCAGGCACATTGTCATAAGCTTTTAAAAAATTTTTTTTCTCTCACAGAAACTAGTATTTCTGTTCTAGGCTGAAAAACAGAAAGGCATGAGGAGGAGAGAAAAGGTTGAAGAATAGGGATGGGGTTATGATGTATTTATTGCCTCTGATTCTGGCTGCAGGGACAGTGGCAGGAAGATGGAGCTAAAGTAAGAGATGTGGTTGGGGATGTCTCAGTTCTTTCTTCTCTCCCTCAGGCTCTCACTTAAGTGTTTGGAAAGGATAGGGTCTAGTCTCAAGGACAACTGGTACGAAGGATAAAATAGAACAATAAAAGACTATGGATTGAAGGAAGTGACAGCTAGTGGGACCTAGAAAATATTCTTTCTCAGTGGCATGTTGTGTATTCAGTCTATATGTACAGAGATACTCATTTTGCTTAGGAGAATTTTCTCCTTTAATAGCCATATTTGCTTGTCAGTCACAAGGAAAAAATTTCTTGGTTCTAATATTCAGTATGCTAAAAATAGTGTATTATATGAAATAAGTAACTTGAAGGAGACAAAAATTCATAATTTTCTTTTTCAGAAGTGTTTTTCTTTCATAAGCACAGTCCTATGATAAAAACATTTTGTAATACTTTTTAAAACTTATTTTGGATTTTTTTCAAAATAATAGAGAAATGGTTGAGTAGATGGGGTTGAGGTTGGGGCAGGGATAGCCCTCGATTTGTCACTATTGGGGCCAGGTGATGGATACATGGTGATTCATTGTATCATTTGTTTACTTTTTGTATATTTGAAATTAATTAAAAATTGAAAAAACACTCTAGTTATTTGTGGTAGTACACAGATGATACTGTTATTACATCATATTTTAAAAACTGTTTTATTGAGTCTTCATTTCTAGAACCACTTGAAATTTGAAATATGAAATAAGCTACTATAATCACTATGTAAGAAAACAATATTGTATTTTAATTTGTATACTGATATGAATACCAGTATAATGTTTTATTTTACTTGATTAGATTTTATTCTGATTTTTAATATTAACACGAGAGAGTGTATGCTCATAGATTCTATAGGAATCTAGTGTTAGAAAGAATAATCTATGAATTATATCTTAGAAAACCCAGATGATTAAATGAAATGTTGTTAAAATTTAAAGCAATTAGCAAAATCAACTTGTAAGTTAATAAATCCACATTTGTATAAATATATTTGATTAATTTCAAGTAAAATTTTTCATGTAATTTGTGCAAAACTCTTTTAATTTTACATTAGTTTATGGAAAAGTGAAAGACCTATTTTATCTATGTAGAAGGTGGTATATCATGGCGAATATTTTTCAAATTTAAGAAGAAAGAATTTAGGGGCACCTGGGGCGCTCAGTGGCTGAGTGTCTGCCTTTGGCTCAGGGTGTGATCCCGGGGTCCTAGGATCGAGTCCTGCCCACATCAGGATCCCTGCAAGAAGTCTGCTTCTCCCTCTGCCTATGTCTCTGCCTCTCTCTCTGTGTCTCTCATGAATAAATAAATAAAATCTTAAAAAAAAAGAAGAATTTAAAATTCAGTTTTAATGGATATAACACTGAAAGTTTTGGAATTCTAAGAAGATGAAATACCTGTTTAGAAATTATATATCACCTAGAAACATTGTATCTGATGTTCCTCTTAATATTCTCATTTAAATCATGATGGCGGGATCCCTGGGTGGCGCAGTGGTTTGGCGCCTGCCTTTGGCCCAGGGCGCGATCCTGGAGACCCGGGATCGAATCCCACGTCGGGCTCCCGGTGCATGGAGCCTTCTTCTCCCTCTGCCTGTGTCTCTGCCTCTCTCTCTCTCACTGTGTGCCTATCATAAATAAATAAAAATTAAAAAAAAATAAAATAAATCATGATGGCATTTTATTTGCATTTTAGGAGATCCTAAGAAAAAGCTCGTATGTTCAGTGTGCAATAAAAAGTGTTCTTCACCATCAAGCCTACAAGAACATAGAAAGGTCAGTAAGATAAAGATTAATGCTCATCAGAGTATAAGATCTTTTAGCCATTTATAGTGTCAGCCATGAAAATTTTTAGTTGCTTTTTTTATTGTAAAGCCAGTGCTTTGTCATTAATTTATACACTAACATATTCTAAAATTTATGACTAATATGCAGAAAAGTAAACTCTTGCAAAAATATATTTTGAGTTGTTTCTTGTTCAGAATTAGTAGAAGTATTTCTCCAGTGCAAAGTATTAGGTCTAGCTGAGCCTTTCACTGCAACATGTCACTTTAGTTTCAAGCTTTGTTAGTTGCTGTTTGCTCAGGAAATACCATATATTTTATGAAAACATACAGTTTTGTGTATTTATAATATGCTCTGCAGTGGCATTTAGCTATTAAAATGGATGCATAAAAAATAAAATGGATGCATAGTATAGTTAAGTCTGGCAAAACAAAGACAAGAGCTTCATTATTCTGAAGAACTTAAAATAATGTACAAGTATGTCAAAGTGTTGTTAGCAGGGAAAATGAATGCTTATATTAGCAGAAAACTAATTTAATACATTTTGTAATAAGCATAAAGCTTTTAGCTATTTTAATGTGGAAAGTCAACCTGAAAAATACATTGTAGTTATTAACCCTAACAACATTAGTTAATAGAATTTATAATAGAATAGAATTAAAGTAGAATTTAGATTTTTGTTCTTATTATAGCCCTTTAGAAAGATTAGTATTATATCAAACTATCTTATATTGTAATAAATATGGATGATTATTTTTAATTTCACATTTTTTTCAGAAGATCTATGAACATATTTTCTTTAGTGACTTAATATTGAAGAAGAGAGGAGATGGTACTAGTGAATGTAAAATTTTACTTTTCTTGTGGTTTACAAAATGAATTTATCTCTTTATTTGTATATTGGTATATTCCAAAGTAATCTGATGGGCTTTAACGTTCATATGATATTCACTCTAATAGCTCTAACCATGTGGCATGGATTTAATCTATAAACACATGAGATAGTTAGATTGCAAAGATGTCTGAGGTTATATTTTAAATGTTGGGTGATTTTGATTCTTGGGAAATAACGTAACAAGTAGTGGAAAGTGAGGATTTTGGGTGTCTTCTTTGGTCCCTAACATTCCCTTTAACATTGGACTCCTGTTCTCTCTTTTATTAAATGTGACTTGGGATGATCTGTGCCTTTTAATTTTTTCTCTAAGTGCCATGAGACTTTTTTTTACAGTTTCCAAATGGTTTTCTTATAGGATTGTTTGAAAATATGGAACCCTTGAAGAATTTGTGTATAATTCTTGTGCATGGACCATTGCTAATCTCACTGTATCATTCCAATTTTAGTATTTGTGCTGCTCACTTCACCTGTATGGCTTCAGAGACAAAAAGATTAGATCCAATTGAGTAGATATTTTCTAAATATCTTCTTATTTGTATGTATCTCTGGTCTGTTTGAATTTTAAGAAGTTAAAGATGTTTCACCAAATGAAAGATTTTACCAAATAGGATGTTTCTGCAAAGTTGGTTGTGGGGCATATTTCTGAAAAATGTTCTCTTTTCCATTTATTTTTTTATAACATAAGAACCTTTTCCCCAAGGAATATTTGGTAGCTATTGCTTGGTGATGGTAGAACACAGAACTCCTGTTATCTCTGCAAAATGCAAAAACCTTATTAGCTCAATTCTTCCTTCATTACAGCATAGCTCCTCTAACTTAGCCTTTATGAATCCATAGGAAGCTTTTACTGACTCCCATTTTTTACTGTATTCTTAAGAGTTGAGGATGTTGAATGTCTAATAGAGCTTGGTTGCAGTATTTACCCTTGCCAGTAGAGGGTGCCCTATGAACATGCCAAATTACATTATAGTCTAGAAGAGTATCTTACATTGCTCTATACTATCCTATATTATAATAAAACATACTATGATCCTTTTTGAAAAGTATTTAATTAGGAACTTCAAATTGTAAGTTATTACCCTCCATATCAATTAGTAAGCTGGACATTTTAAAATTGTGTTTTATTTAACATTAGGCATAAATAAATCGTATTACCTATCATTTTCATTTGAAATTTGATTGCTTTATTAAGTTTTTTTTAGGATTTTTGAAAATAGTTTTGGCCTTAATTTTCCACTGTAAGTAAGGTGGTCAATGCAAAAATACTTTCAGGTACAGTGAAATTTTACTTTATAATGATGAAAAATTCATTCAATTGAATCTTTAAAAATAGTTCATGTTTCAGGAACCACTAGAGTTAAGAAGTGAATGGTACTATTCTGCAGTATTTTATTTAACAGTTAACATTTTATATATGGATGAATGATTTTAAAAATTTTATATATTAACATAGACTTCATATTAAAATGAAAATAAACTAAATATATTTTCATTTATGTATGATTCAGAAGGCATATCATCTTTTTAAGGGCATGTTGTTATAAAAGGCATATATTACAGAAACATAAGAGTTTAAGAATATAAATCTGTTCTTACTATCTTTAAGTAAACATTACATACAATATCTTGCTCCTTAAACATAGTTGTTCAACCGAAGCCACAGAAAGGGTCTTTGATGACTGAAGAGGCTGTCTTTAAAATGGCTCAGGCTGAAAGTTTTTCTTTTGTACTCTGTAGTGCTTGCTTTCTGAGTACTAATGCAGATTCCACATTATTTTCTGAGGAATCATAGTACTTTCTGGACTCCATATATTCACTAATTGAGATTAGGTGGCACTGTATGTAAGCAGAGGGCAGACATTGTTCTGCTTCTGCCTTATCTCCCTTTTCTCTGCTTTTCCCAAATGAGTTTCCTGACTCACCAAGAATCAGATCTCAAAGAAGCAGAAGATGGGTTGGAAGCCTCAGACTTGCCATATGGTTGGCCATAGAATTAAGGCACAGACTGTAGACCTGGGATCTGTTTAACTTTGCCCTAGCTTTTGTTCCCCTGCCTTGTCTCCTCTTTTCACCCTCTCTGTCTTGAGTTCATCCATGACCAAGAGAGCCATTTACCAGGATACCACCCAGTCCTCCACTCTTCACTCATTGCTGTACCAGTTTATAGTACTTTGACCTGACTTCAGTCTACAAGGCCCTAGTTATTCTGCAGGAATAAGCATAGTACCTTGGCTTTCTGCAAAAGGGCCTTTGCTTGTCTGGTGTTTAGTATTGTGAGCTTTACCTTTACTTTAATGAGGTTGAAACATAAATGTAACTTTACTAAAGTTCTTTTTGAATCTTCTGCAAAACAGTATGATGCTCTTGTTCATTGCAGTGATCGACATTTCTAATATAAGACTTCTTGCAGTACATTCCTCTTAGAACTTTGCGCATTGTTTCTGATAATAAGCTGGGCTTCTACTTTTCATACCACCTATGTGATTTCTCTGATTTAGTGTATGAGAGGGAAAGAGCTAAACTTAATATTCAGTTGTAATAATTATTTAGCCAGTTGTTTGTTAAGGTTCTACTCCTCCTCTTCTTACTTACTTGGTTTTTGAACTTTTCTTTTTATTGTGGTCTTCCTCTCATGTAAGAATTTCACTGTGAGCTAAGTGTTTTTCAGAATTATATATCTTCTTGCCTTTCATGGTAATTAAAGTTTTGCTCTGCATTGTATACATTTAAATTTAAAACCGTTTAACTACTGTAAAGGTAACACTATTGCCTAGAGGTTACATATTTTCAAATCTAAATTTATGCCTAACAAAAAGAGTTAATGTAAATTAGGTAGAACTTTTTACAGAGTGTAGAAATTTAACATGCACCAAATAGGTCAGCTAATCACATATTTAAATGGTGTGCTACAATCTTTATTTTCTTTTAATGATATGTTTTTACTAGATAACATGTTCATTGCATTTTCAGCTAATATACAACAGTGTGAACAAATTAGAACTGAATTATAATACATAATTTTTACAGTAGAAGCTACCCTCGTGTTTATACTTTTACTTGAGCTCTATCTAATTTATTTGGCTTTGACAGTTAACTGTCCACTTAACCTTTTACAGATTCATGAGATATTTGATTGTCAGGAATGTATGAAGAAATTTATTTCAGCTAATCAGCTAAAACGTCATATGATCACTCACTCAGGTAAAATATTTATTTTTCCATTTGTATTGAAATCACTATGAAAGATTCACTTTTTCATTTTCAGGAGCTCTGAGAGTAGTAATCAGGAGACCTGGCTTTTAGTTCTAGGTTGGCCAAAAACTAGCTGTGTGACTTTTTTAAAAATTTTTTTTATTTTATTTTTTAAAATTTTTTAGCTGTGTGATTTTGAACAAGTTACTTATTAGCCTCTCTAGATTTCTATAAAGCCAAGGTGGTTGAACTAAATGATATCAAAGTCATATCATTTAGATGACCTTCAGAGTCACCATTTAATTTTTAATCTTTCTGAGCCTTAGATTCTGTTCTTTATCTGTGAAAAGGTATCTACCTTTCAAAATTGCTGTGAAGGTTAAACAAGATCATTATGTATTGTGCTAGCGTAGTGTCTGACTTTTTAGGAGGAATTCAACAATTATAGCTTCTAAATTTCTAAATTGCATTCTAACTAAGGTAGCAATAAGTGTTCGTGAGAAATTTATAAATACATTTTGAGAATATAGGTTTTTAAAGCCGTTGTTTTCATTTTAAGTCAAGTTTGAGTGATAGGTCTATTATACAGATTTAAAAAATAAGATCTGAGAATAAATTTTGCTCTATGAAATCTCTAGGATTTAGAATGTCTATAATTGGAGGCCATTGAAGTCAGAGTGTTTTTGACTATCTACTTTGCTTGGAGACAGATAAAGATATTTTGGCAAATTAATATAGATCACACACTGGTGATCTGTTCAGATATGCTTTGTTTGAAACAAACAGTAATTTTTTTTAATTTTTATTTATTTATGATAGTCACACAGAGAGAGAGGCAGAGACACAGGCAGAGGGAGAAGCAGGCTCCATGCACCGGGAGCCCGATGTGGGATTCAATCCCAGGTCTCCAGGATCGCGCCCTGTGCCAAAGGCAGGCGCTAAACCGCTGCGCCACCCAGGGATCCCCAAACAGTAATTTTTAAGTCTAATGGTCAACATTACATGAACATTGCATAAATATGGATTTTATACAACTTAAGTGTGTAGTCTTTGCTGAGAATTGAAGCTGTGCCTGTATCGCATCCACTTGTTTGAGTAGGCGGCAGGTCTGTCGTTTACTTTTTTATTGCTGTCAGGCTACTCATGGCGTTTGAAGTTGTATCCCTGGTTTAAACTCATGCCTATCAGCAGAATTTTCATCTGGAAGTAAGATTTTTTTTCCTTGAATTTAAATTTCATCCTCACATTTAAGCTATTTTATACATGTAGTTTACCATATAGGTATATTAAAGAACTAGCTCACATTTCTTCTGTGAATAGGCCCACATATCTAACATAAATGGATTGGTAAGTAGATTTTTTTTTCAGTTGTTTCAATCATGTCTTAGTTGACTTATCCATAAGAAGTAATATATGGTAAGGCTATTTCCCTTTTTATCCCTTACCTTTATATAGATGTGAGATTGTCTCCACTCATTTTTTTTTTCACAGAAAAACGACCCTATAATTGTGAGATTTGTAATAAATCTTTCAAGAGGCTCGATCAAGTGGGCGCCCATAAAGTGATACACAGTGAAGATAAGCCTTACAAATGCAAGCTTTGTGGAAAAGGATTTGCCCACAGGAATGTTTACAAGAATCACAAGAAGGTAAAACCTTATTAGTATTAGTATTATTATTTTGCTGATCTGATTTCTCATTGGTTATTTTTTAAAGAGTTTTTTGTATATCTGGACATGCTGTACACGTGGAATCCTTAGAGGACGATTTTGCTTATATTATATTTTCTACCTCCTCACTCAGGCCACAGTCCTGTCCGGCCTTGTTTCTGTCTTCCATACTCTGTTGAAACTGTTCTTTTTTTTTTTTTTTTTTTTTTTTTTTTTAAGATTTTATTGATTTACTAAGAGAGAGAGAGAGAAAAAGTAGGCATGGGGGGGGGTGTGGCAGTGAGGGATAGAGGGAGAAGCAGACTCCTCGCTGAGCAGGAAGCCCAATGTGGGGCTTGATCTTCGGACTCCGGGATCATGTCCTGAGCTGAAGCCACCCAGGTGCCCCTGTTGAAACTGCTCTTATAAGCAAAGAGTCATCCAGTATTTCCCAGTATTGTATTAACTGCAAAGTCTTTTCTTTTCCTTTTTTCTATAAAATTTGACACTCTTGTTCATGGTACCTTTCCTGAAATTCTCTTTATCTTTGGTGTATAATTTGCTAGGTGTTTCGCCAATTTCTCTGAATACTTTCATCTCTCCATCCCGAGGAGGTTATGCTGGATGCATTGGCTGTGGACTTCTTCTGTGTTCTCTGTGTCAGCTACATACATGACTTCTGTCATCAACTGTATACCAACAAATCCCAAATGATTTATTTCTTTAACCCAGGCTTTAAACTCACATTTATGTTTTCTTTATTTGATACTTAACTGGATATCTTTCTGACTTAATGAATTCAGCATGTCCCAGGATGACCTTTCATTCTTTATGCCCAAGATAACCTCCGTTTTGGAGTTTCCTCTTTCTGTTGATGACAGAAGCATATACCTATCCCTATCTGTTTTTTTAGTCTTAGTCCCTTTCTAAGATAGTAGCCAGTTCTTTTTAAAAATTATTTATATTTTTATTTTGAGAGAGTGAGAGAGAGTGAGCAGGGGAGGGGCAGAGGAAGAGAGAATCTTAAGCAGGCTCCATTCCTAGTGTGGAGCCCAACTTGGGACTTGATCTCACAACCCTGAGATTATGACCTGAGCCAAAATCAAGAGTTGGAAGCCCAACTGACTAAGCCACACAGGCACACCTAGAAGCCAGTTCTTAAAGATTCCACCCTCTACATTGCCCCATCACCCTCACAGTCATTCTTTCCTTTACCACCATCTTATCATCTTGATTATTGCTCATCTTCATTACTTTAATCCCCATTTAATTAGATTCTTATTACTTATTACTTCCCACTTATCCATCCTCCCAGATAAATTGTCCCACAGTGCATCTCTGTCACTCTTGTACTCTAATATTATGAGTAGATTTGCAATGGTTATATAAATTATAGTATATGCATGTTACCCTGTCATCAGAGTTCTCTTCCCATGGCCTCGGCTTACTTTTCTAGATTTTTATTGTTTTCTCTGCATTAGTCATAAGACAACTTGACATTTGCCTTCAGTCATCATGACCTAACTTCCTCTTTTCTTTAAACTTTTTTATTTTATTTTATTTTATTTTATTTTATTGATTTTATTTTATTTATTTTATTTTATTTTATTTTATTTGTAACTAAACTCGATGTTCAATGTGGGGATTGAAATCATAGCCATGGGATTAAGAGTTGTAGGCTCTACCAACTGAGTCAGCCAGGTGCTCTACCCCTTACTATTTTCTGATAGGACTCCAAGTTATAATCTCTTTAGTTTTCTTTATTAATTCCTATTTTCATTTCCTATGCTTTACCTTTACTCCTGTTCTTGTTTCAGAATGTATTAGTTTTATTTTATTTTCTGTGCCTAAGTAATATTCTATTATATACATAGTGTATTTTGCATGTTCTTTATACATTCATCTATCCATGGTCACTTAAGTTGTTTCCATTATCTTGGCTATTGTAAATAATCATGCAATGAAAGTAGGGGTGTATATATATATATATTTTTTTTTTTTAAATTAGTGTTTTGTTTACTTTGGATAGATATCCATATGTGGATTTGCTGGATCATATGGTAGCTTTTAATTTTTTAAAGAAATTTAGTACTGTTTTCCGTAGTGGTTGTACCAGTTTACATTCCCACCAACAGTGTATGATGGTGTTTTTTTTCTACATCCTTGCCAACACTTGTTTCTTGTCATTCTGATGATAGCCATTCTGATAGATGTGAGGTGATAGTTCATTGTGGCTTTGATTTGCATTTCCCTGATGATTAGTGATGTTGAACATCTTTTCCTCTTGGCCATCTGTATGTCATCTTCGGAAAAATGTCTAATCTGTTCAGATCCTTTGCCCATTTTTAATGAGATTTTTTTTGTTATTGAATTGTATATGTTCATTACATATTTTGGATATTAACTTTTTATCAGACATACGGTTTGCAAAGATCTTCCCCCATTCAATAGGTTGTCTGTTCATTTTGTTGATGGTTTCCTTCGCTGTGCAGATATGTCTTAGTTTGATGTAGTCCTCTTTGTTTATTTTGCTTTGCTTATTTCTGACTCCTTATCTTTGGAGTCAGATCCAAAAAACATTGCTAAAACCTATGTCAAGGAGCTTACTGCTTATGTTTTCTTTTAGGAGTTTTATGGTTTCAGGTCTTACATTCAAGTCTTTAATCCATTTTAAAATAATTTTTGAGTACTGGGTAAGATAGTGGCCCAATTCCATCCTTTTCATATGACTGTCCAGTTTTCCCACATTATTCATTGAAGAGACTATTCTTTCCCCATTCTATATTCTTGCCTCGTCTCTTATAGATTAACTGCATGGGTTTATTTTTGGGCTGTCTATTCTGTTCCATTGATCTCTGTGTCTATTTTTTTGTTAATATCATACTGTTATAAAAAACAAAAAAAAATCATACTGTTATGATTACATAGCTTTGTAGAATAGTTTGAAATTTGGGAATGTGATAACCTCTGACTTTGCTCTTCTTTATCCAGATTGCTTTGGCTATTTGAGGTCTTCTATAGTGCTCTACAAATTTTAGAATTATTGTTTCTACTTCTGTGAAAAATGCCATTGGAATTTTGGTAGGGATTGCATTGAACCTATGTAAATTACCGTGGGTAGTATGGACATTTTAACAATATTAATTCTTCCAATCCATGAGCATGGCATATCTTTCTGTTTATTTGTGTCCTCAGCTTTTTTCATCAATGTGTTACAGTTTTCAGAGTACAAGTCTTTCATCTCTTTGGTTAAATTTACTTCTAGGTATTTCATTCTTTTTGATGGAATTGTAAATGAGATTGTTTTCTTGATTTCTCTTTCTGGTAGTTTCTTATTAGTGTGTGGAAATGCAATGGATTTTTGTGTGTTAATTTTGTATTTTGAAACTTTATTGAATTCATTTTTGTTCACAGCTTTATTAGTGAAGTCTTTAGAGTTTTCTGTATATAGCATCACGTCATCTGCAAATAGTGACAGATTTACTTCTTCCTTTCAATCTGGAAGCCGTTTAGTTCTCTTACTAAATTGCTTTGGCTAAGACTTCCAGTATTATGTTGAATAAAAGCAGAGAGAGTAAACATCCTTGTCTTGTTCTTGATTATAAAGGAAAACTTTCAGCTTTTCATTATTGAGTTTGATATTAGCTGTGGACTTGTTATATATGGGCATTATTATGTTGAGCTACATTCCCTCTATATCCACTTTGTTGAGAATTTTTATCATAAGTGGATGTTGAGTTTTGTCAAATGCTTTTTCTTCATCTCTTTGAGATGAGTGTATGATTTTTTAAGTGATTTTAAAGATTTTTTAAAAATCTATTTATTCATGATAGACATAGAGAGAGAGAGGCAGAGAGACAGGCAGAGGGAGAAGCAGGCTTCCTGGAGGGAGCCCAATGCAGGACTCGATCCCGGATCCCGTGATCACACCTTGAGCCAAAGGCAGATGCTCAACCACTGAGCCACCCAGGCATCCTGAGCATATGATTTTTATCTTTCATTTTGTTAATGTGGTTATAATATTGATTGATTGGGTGACCATCCTGAATCTCTGGAATAAATCCACTTGATCATGTATATGATCTTCTTTATTGTTGAATTCAGTTTGCTAATATTTTCTTGAGGATTTCTGCATCTATTTTTTTCTGTATATTGGCTTCTAATTTTTTTTCTGTCCTCCTCCTCCTCCTCCCCCTCTGCCTCCTCCTCCGCCTCTTCCTTTTTTTTTTTTTTTTTTTTAATGGTGTCCTTGTCTAGTTTGGGTGTCAAGGAAATATTGTCTGTGTAGATGGATTTGGAAGCATTCCCTCCTCTTCAATTTTTTGGAAGAGTTTGAGAATGATAGGTATTAAATCTTACTGAAATGTTTGGTAGAATTCACCATTGATACCTTCTTGTCCTGGACTTTTGTTTGTTGGGAAGTTTGGATTACTGATTCAATCTTCTTACTGTAATTGACCTATTCAGATGTTTTTATTCATGATTCATGATTGAAAGATTATTTTGGGGAATTTATCTATTTCTTCTAGATTATCTAATTTCTTGGCATGTAATTTTTTGTAGTTGTATGATGATTTATATTTCTGTGGTATCAGTTTTAACTTATCCTCCTTCTGATTTTGTTTATAAGAACTTCCTTGGTCTCTTATTTCACTGATTTCTGCTTTGATCTTTATTATTTCCTTTCTCCTACTAACTTTAGGTTTCATTTGTTCTTCCTTTTTTTTTTTTTCTTTTTCTAGTGGTTGATCTTTATGTTTGATATTATTTCAATCTTTCTGAGTTTTTTGAGATTTGCTTTGTGGCTTAACATGTGATCTATACTGGAGAATATTCTGTGTGCACCTGAGAAGAATGTGTATTTATCTGCTTTTGGATGAAATGTTCTGCATCTATTAAGTACTTCTATATGTAATGTGTTGTGGAAACCCATATTTCCTTGTAGACTTTCTGTCTGGATGATTTATTCATTGGTGTAAGTGGGGTGTTAAAATACACTA